CGGGGACACCGAAGGAATCCTTCTTCCGGCAGTGACTTGAGCCTTAGCCTGTGTAAGCTCACAACTTATAGCTTACACAAGGTTTCCTCTCTTCTCTCTCCTAGGCGATGGGGAGTAGAGTATAGGGAGTAGGGTGAGTAGGTGAAAGTAAAGTAAATATGTGCCGGTGATGAACTGGAAGTATATTGAGATGTTGACTACGAGATGACTCGGAATTCCCCATTAGAAAACTAATGACAGACTCCCAACCATCAAAGAGGGAAAAGTATAGCAGATGCAAGATAAGGAGCAGAAATATGGATCAGGATGGTGTTGGCATTATTTGGGACGATGTATTCAGAGCTTATGCTGCATTTACCCTGAAAACTTACTCAAAGGGGAAATTACACTTTAAGGAACAGTCATCCCACTCTTGCCCCATTGTTTCATTATCACTCAAGCTGCACTGCGGCCGCTCACTCTTTAGACATCTCGGTGATAAATAGATGGATGATTGCGCTCGCACAGTGAGCAAATTCAAGAGTGCTTTATCTTGAACATCACTCCAGAGCCAAGAATCACTCACACAGAAAATTAGTCAGCTGGAAATTGATTGAAATAGCAAAATCCGACCCCAAGAGGGGAAACATATTTAACTCATTCCGGGGGAAAATCAGAGCTACCTACTTGGTAAGAAGGAAGTAGGCAGTTCAGAGCGCAGCGGTGGTGTATACAAGTGGCGTGACCCATTTCACCTCAACCAGTACTAGAAGCAAAATTACAAAAATGAGAGGTGATGCCTAAAGAGGACCTGTGCAGTGGAGACTGTGCCCAAAAATGGCAAAGGACTAGGAGCTCTTAGCCACCAAGGACGCTCTGGCTGGCGTCCCACCCAGCTCCTGGCAAGCAGTGATGTCAATGAGCTAGGCTGGACGTCAGCCAGAGACAGAGGTAACATGCACCACCTACACCGCCCCCACCCCCCTGGTAACGTGCACCACCAGCACCCACAACAATCCCCCCCCCTGGACACAGTGGGGAAAAAGTCTAGAGACAGCCCTGAGTAGTGCAAGAGTGACATCACCAAATCTCACTCCAAATCTGCTGAGACTGGAAGTCAGAGGCAGCAATGTCTTAGATCTCACACTGCAGATATACAGCTATGGGGCTCAAGACACAGCAGAGCCTAGGTACAGGAAGTGCCCAGCTATTTTTCAGAAGGAATTCAAGACAAAGGTAAGTCTTTTAGGGTATGGTTTAGGTACAAATAATAGTTCTAAGTGTTCCCTAAAGGATAGCATGTCTTCAATTTTTTAGGTTCAGGGCCAGTTACATACAGAAAATTGAAAGGATTTTTAGAGAACCTCATTGTATAGTCTTACCTCCTTGTGTTCTGGAGATTTCAAAACCACTCCAGTAACTTCTCAAACTCACCTCCAAGTGGCCCAGTCATCTCTGAATTGGTGCTGACACTGTCCTTCCTTCTGGAGGGGGGCTACTTTTGTTCCCCATGGTCCCTGTGTGTGTTGTAAAGTAGTCACCGCTCCAAGCTCGCTCCCGGGATGGACTACAATCTCATGTTTAGTTTACTGAATTTTATTGAGATTGTAGTCCATCCCGGGAGTGAGCTTGGAGCGCTGACTACTTTACAACATACACAAGGACCATGGGGAACAAAAGTAGCCCTCCTCCAGAAGGAAAGACAGTGTCACCACCAATTCAGAGAGCAGAGCTGTAGCTCGCGGTATACTGAGCTTAGGTTGACGGGAGGACGCTAGTTTGTGTCCTCCCCTTACCCTAAGGAGAACTATGGGGAAAAGCCCTGACCGCATAGTTCTCCTTTAACTCCTGAGTTTAGTGTCACTTTAAGAGGAGTGGGGAAAGTCCCTCATCTTGTCTATTCAGGTCTATCAAAACACAATATATGCTATCCAAACCTTTCTCCGAGCTCTTCCTGCTGGCTGCAATTGGCAAATATGAAATAGTCATATGTAACATTGTTCAAGAACTGAACATAAGCACTATAAATGTAGATGATTACATAAAATAATATAGACTTCCTTTAAAGGATTATTAAACCCTCAGGTTTTTTTGCATATATCCATTGCTAGCTAGCAGTAGATATATGCAAAAACTTAAAAAAAACTTAAAAAAGAAACTTACCTTTGTCTTCACCGCGCGCTCCCGTCCGAAAATCTGAAAAATCTTGGGGCGGCCGCAAAGAATCTTTTGCAAAGAATGCATGCGCAGTTCAGATTTTCGGCCGGGAGACGAAGAGAGACACAAGGTAAGTCTATGGACGCGTGCGCCCGCATGCAGACACCGTGGGACAGGAAGTGCCAGCAAACACAGAGGAGCGCTGGAGGAACAGATGAAAACGACAGCAAAGTAGAAGATCGGATTAAGAGACATCATTTAAAGGAGAACTATGGGGTCAGGGCTTTTCCCCATAGTTCTCCTTAGGGTAACGGGAGGACACAAACTAGCCTCCTCCCGTCACCCTAAGCTCAGTATACCGGGAGCTACAGCTCGAGGTATACTGAGACGCCGCAGCCGGAGCGGATCCCGACATCGATGTCGAGATCCGCCCAGCTGCGTGAGTGACAGCTGGCTCTGCCTATCTAGAGGCAGAGCCAGCTGTACCCGCCACCTCCCCCATCCGTTCCGCCAGTCAGCGCTGGAGGATCAGAGCGGGGAGGGGGGAATCCAGTCCCTCCCCTGTCACGACAGAGAGCCGTGACAGGATCGAGAGGTGAGCGAGCGCCGGTATGTGTTCGCTCACCTCCCGATCTACTGAGCCGACCTGTGACAGTCTCATTGTCACAGGTCGGCTAGAACTATGAGGTGAGTGAAAAGCATCCACCTCATAGTTCTCCTTTAAGGTAAGTGCTGACACTAACTTTGGGGGGAGGGAAACAAAATTATACTTTAATGTCACTTTAAGCACGATTTAACTTCATAAAATAGATTTTTGTTACTAGTTAAGACATTTAAATTTATTTTTTAAGATTTACCCCTGAGTTTAGTGTCACTTTAAGAAAGCTTTAACATTTCCTGATGCCCTTTGACTGCATTAGAAGAAGAGGAGTTGTAGATACAAACGTTTCTCCTTTAATATAATATTGTATCATTTTATTCCAAGAGGAAACTAACACTTTTTTTCATCTTCTTCCAGCTCTACAGCTCGATGGATTTTGGAAGGAGGTGGCATCTGATGCACGAGAGGATAACACCCAACAGGTTCTATTGGTAAGTCTCCAGCCATGGTATTTATTTTCTTTTCAGAGATGGGAATGTCATTGACGTTGTAATTAAAAGTTTGTTTGAATCTGTTACGCAATCTATGTTATTTTAAAGGAATACTTGTCAGGGGTGATTGCTGATTGGAGCTGCACATGCTCAATGAGATCCCCTGCTATCATATGTACATAGAGCTTCCTGGTAGAATCCTGGCAATGAATGCATGGGTACTTTTATATTGTTGTTGTTTCTTTAAATGTAACAAGAGTTTTTCCAAAACTGCATCTCCTTTTTGAAGGGACTTTGTCTGATCATGTTTAATGCCCAACTCTTAGAAAAAGAAATCCTTTGCCCTACCCACACTCCAGTGCTTCACTCCTCACCCTCCTTTGCACTTGAATTTGACTTGGTATCTGCTTCTATCAAACCCGGGACAGCAGAGTGTAGATGGGGAGAGGGAGAAGCAGCACAAGGAGCCAATCAATTGTGCTGCTCTGCTGATGTGCTCACATGATACATGCTGATGGAAGAGAGAGCAGAGTGACAGAGAGATGAGCTCATCAGTCTTCTTCCCTTTTACTGTCTAGTCAAATTCTGGGAGTGGAGAGGAGACCTGTAATTACTTAACTGCAGTGCACTGTCTACCTGCAAAATAACATGGCGGCAGATCAGGACCGTGAACCATGGAGGTGCAGAAATGTCAAGCATGCCAAGTTTGGCCGGCGGTGCCCCCAGAGGCATATCTACTATAACATGTGTCTATGGCATCCTGCCCAGATCCTGCCAACCAATGACATCACTGTGGCTGGTGTCCCCCAAGCTCCTGGCAACCAGTTAATATCACTGGTTGCCAGGAACTCAGCAGGACGCCTGCCAGAGTGAAAAAAGTTAGCTGTCTCCACTGGTCAGGGAACTTTTGCTGACCCATGGAGTGCCCCTCCCCCGCCTTCAATGCATGTGCCCTGAATAAGCCACTGGATACCACTTGCCAAATGCACCCATTTGAATCAATGGGGGTGCATCGGAACCCTGTGCCAACCACTTGGCACATGGTTGTGGAGTGGTACAGCAATGCCAAAACCCCCCTTGGGATCTGAAAAAAAAAAACAGGCATTCAGGAGATGGTAGTATTGCTTCTTAGACTCCTGCAACCCACCATTCAACCGCCTCTGAAAAGTGATCCACCATGGATTGCTTTTCAGAGGGGCACCATTGTGAATGAGGCCTAATGGTGAAGTTTTAATTGTCTACAGTAGCCAATCAGATGCTTCTTCCACTCGCCCATACTGCACTGGAGCCATTATTATTATACAGGATTTATATAGCGCCAACAGTTTGCGCAGCACTTTACAATAAAAGGAAGACATTACAATCACAATACAATTCAAGACAAGATGGTAAGGAGGGCCCTGCCCCTGAGGGCTTGCAATCTAAAAGGAAGGGGGAAGTGATACATGAGGAGAAGCCATGAATAGAAGACTTTAATAGTCTGATTTATTAAGCATTTGCACCGCATATTACTTCCACTAGATGGAGCCGAGGAGCATAGGACATTCCTTTGCTCCTGGGCTCCATCTAGTGGCAGTAATATGCTGCCAGCGTCATTTGCACAGCTATACGCTATGCAAACACATTATACCTCAGCCCTTTAATGATTATTCTAGGTGACAAAATGTTCCAGTTTCACACGCGGGGCCCAAAGTAACATCTGTGCCAAAGCAAAGTAAGTTAAATTTAATAAAAGAAGTCTTTGCTCGCCCAAGCGATCACGTGAATGAAAAAAAAAACAAAAAAGGTGAAAAAAAACCACTCTATACAGAACGAATAAAGGACAGGGCGATTTTCCCTTCCCCTTCCCGTAATGGTATCAAAATCCGTGACACTGTAATCATGTGATACTTGAAGTGGAAATTAAATGTATGGAGCTCCGTTAAATGATTTGCTTTTAGTGAATTTTTACACTCCAGTCCGAGCTAAGCCGAAGACACGGCGTTTCGCTCAGCGCCATCCTTTCAGCCGCACCGTAATGAAAGTTACGGTTTATTGAGGCTCTGCCCCGGTATTAATGGGGTTTTAGGCTGGCTTCACACCTGGGCGTACGGAATATGCGAGTTTGCCGTGCATTTCGCGATTTGCGGTAAAAGAAACGCGCGTTTCCGAGGGCTATCCGGCTGTATCCTAATGGATACGTGCGGCAAATACGCCCCAAAGAAGCTCCTAGGACATAGGGCGTTTTACAGCGCGTTCCTACTCGCTGTAAAACGCTCAACATGTGAAAACCAATAATTGCCTATGCGCATGGTTCCCACCTGGGCGTTTTACAGCGCGTAGGAAAGCCCAGGTGTGAACCAGGCCTTAAGTAGTAATCAGGCTTGTTACGGACGCGCATATCTGTCTTTGAGGATCGCTGCACTATCCGGATGATTCCGACGGTGGCTTCAAAATTGCAGATTCATTTGCACGTTGATATACGCGGCACTTTCGTTATGACATCTGCGTGAGATCCCCGCTACGTTTTTCTGTTTAATTAATGCAAAGCGACGACTGAGTCATTCTACTCCGAATGCTGCGCAGCGAATTTCATCTGGAAGAGAACGTGTTGCACGTTAAATAGAAACTATTCAAAATATTTAGTCGCGCTTGTGAACGTGATCCGGGAAACTATAATGGCTTTGAGGCAATTTAACTTATTTTATTATTATTTATATAATACATTATTTTTTATCTATTTTTTTTAGTTTTTAAGTAGTTTTTTTAATATATATTTGTTTTTTCTTTGTTTATTTTTGTATTTTTAAAAACATTTTTATAACTGAAATATTAACAATTAAAACCATTAATTTTTTTAAAGAAATGGTCTCCCAGCTGTTATTTTATGTTAAAGGAGTTGTATACTGTCCGATCAGGACCCTCCTAACCATCTTGTTTTGAACTGTACGGTAAGTGTAATGTATTCCTTATATAATTGTACCAATCACAGACCTGGAAGAAGCATGCAGGCCAGGAAAGTTATAGTAATGTCTTATGTTCCGAAGTTTAGGTCAATGACTCTGAAAATACTGAAACCATTTAGCATGACAGCCAGACAACCTGCATCTTCGTTAGCATAGGGCATAGGTGGCAGCCTCCATGATCCCTCAGTATAGGTTACAGCATGCCCCCTCTAATACTGGTGTCTCAGAACACTACGCATTTTATAAAGAAGAGAACATAGCGGTCGCTGCCTCTTTCTAACATAAACTTTAAATGTAGCCAAATAGCAGAAAGAGTAGGGGGCCGGTGAGTCACTGCCCTGATTCATTCAGCTGTGTGTGTAATCTGAGCTTGAGCTATTGATCTCCAGATACAACAGGCTAAACAGTTAAGAATTGTCTGGTAACTGAAACTCTGAATGATGCCATATAGGGGGGAAGGAGTTTGGATGAGACACTTTTTTGGCCATTCAGCTACGTGTATGGTCTGAGCTTCAGTTACTGAGATACTTTCTTTTTTTCTCCTCCTCTCTCTCTCTCTCTCCCTCTCTCACCCACTCCCTCTCTCTCACCCTATCCCT